CAAAATTTCCCGTTTGGTTTCACCAACTTCTCCCCCTAATTTTGGGAAAAGTGTCTCATCGAATCGACAGTCTGCAAATCGCGCAGTAAACAAATCCCCCGTCAATGTTCCGAGGTAGCTAATAATGGAGGGCGATTCAAACCCAACATATATTCCTAACCTTCTTTGCGGACCCATTTTGGTGCGATATGGCGGTGTTACAGGCACATATAATGCGCATCCAAAAATTCTTAAATGGGATATATTAGGTTCATGACCCAAAACTAATTGCAACGGAGAATATTTATGATAATTTGTCGGTCTGAGACGAACTAGCATTGATGCATGCAAAATGGCATGACCCCAAACAGAAGTGGGCAGCCTCGTTTTCATGAGTAACGGTCTTGCTATCAATTGCAGACGTTTAATTAAAGACTCTGCAAGACCATTTTGAGTGTGAACATGAGCTACAGGATGTTCCACTTTTATCCCAATTGATAAGCAATAATCATTAAATGCTTGGGATGAAAACTCAGCAGTATTATCAAGTCTAATAGACTTAATTGGATTATCGGGAAATTGTTCCCGTAATCGGATTATTTGTGCCATTAATTTTGCAAACGCAAGGTTGCGAGATGACAATAGGCACACATGGGACCATCTAGAAGATGCGTCTATTAAGACCATAAAGTATCTAAACGACCCACTAGGTGGGTGAATAGGTCCACAAATGCCCCCTTGTATACGTTCCAAAAACGCAGGGGACTTAATTCCAATTTTTGTTGGTGATGGTCTAATAATTAACTTGCCTTGATAACAAGAAGTGCAAGAAAATTCATCATTTGAAAGAATCTTTAAATTCTTTAATGGATGCCCATTTGAGTTTTCTATAATCCGTCTCATCATAATTGATCCAGGATGTCCCAATCGATCATGCTAAATTACAAAAGTATTGGAATCAGTAACCTTTTGGTTTACGGTAGAATGTGCCTCAATTGCACTAATTCTTGTCCAATACAGGCCACAAGATAAAGATGAGAACTTCTCAATAACCCTCTTTTGGCCAGAGACATTCTTGGTAATGATGAGATATTCAAGATTATTCTCATCTATTGTCTCAATATGATATCCATTTCGACGGATATCTTTAAAACTCAACAAGTTCCTCTTGGACTTGGAGGAGAACATTGCATTCTCTATAATAAGTATTGTTCCCTTGGGCAGAGTTATAGTAGCTCTTCCAGAGCCTTCAATTAAATTACTACTACCAGAAATTGTAGTAACATCTGCCTTACACATACTTAAATGAGAGAAATATTTCTTCTCTTTGAATATTGTATGTGTCGTACATGAATCATTTATTCAAATATTTTTATAATTGGACTTTGATCCAAGTTTGCTTTGTGAGATATCCATATTTGCTTCCCATGATCTTAATCTTCTCAAAAGCTTCTTGAGACGGTAGAGATAACGTGTTATAAAACAATAAAAGAACAAGAGCAATATTGCAGAGAAAGAGAGAGGGGAAATTCTTATTGAATTTTGGGATGATTTACAATGGAATAGAACCCTCCATTTATAGGGAGAGGGTGACTTAGCCACCAAATAATAAACTCTAGAATCTCTCTAAATATAGTCATTCACCATAAATAAAAATTGTATTTATAACAATTTCTCAATATTCCGTCATATTTACATGGAAGCAAGTTGTTGGTTGCATACGAGAAATAGTGGGAAGACAAAAAGGACACCAATCAAAGGAACGGTCGTGAAAGAAAGGGAAACATCAATTAAGTAGCATCAATATCAGCACAGCACATCAATAGCTAGAAGAGATATATTTGTCTTCTTCATCTATGTCCTAATTCTTTTTTCTTTTTTTATTCAGTTTTGTGGCCTGTGGGAGGGCCTGAATTTGGATTGCTGTGTTCTTCCAAATTAGCAAGAATGAGATCTGCAATATGTTTTATCTGCTTTAAGTAGTGGTGGCAAAATGGATTTAAAAAAATAGTTATTCACCCATATTATCTACTAAAAAATTGGTTGAATAATGAACTTTTTAAAAATAGGTCAAATCAAATATGGATCAGATTCATATTATCCACTTAAAAAAAATGAATAACCAATGGTTTACATTTGCAAAGATTCAATTTGGGGGTTCCTCAAGTTTGGGAGACTAAAAATTCTCCCAAAAATAACCATATTCAAGAAGTCATGGATAATATGGATATCCAAATTATCTGTCGGTTAACCCTTTTTTTATTAATATTAAATATGGGTCGGGCCAGATAAATTATCTGTTTTTACATTAATTATCCATTTTTTGGCTCACCTATATCCGACCCGACCCACTTGTACGCCACCCCTAGCTTTACGTATGAAAAACTATTACTCTATCTGTTTAAAGAGTTTAAGTTCTATGCGAGTGTAAAAGATAATTAGGTTACGTACTTAGTAATTACAAGTAAATCTCTTAATACATATTAATTTTGTTGTCCTAGTTTATGTAACTCTTTTTTCATTTTAGTCCGTCTAAAAAAGGATGACATATTTTTATATTTAGTAACGAACTTTAAAATGCTCATTTTACTCTTAATGAGATTATTTATAGTCACACTATTATTTATAGCTTATTTTAAACCTCAGGTTTCAAAATTAAAGTCTTTCTTTATTTCTTAAAATCTGCATCCAATAAAAAACCATTGCATAAATTAAAATCGAGAAAGTAATTAGCAATCGAATAAAAGAAATAACTAACCTATTATCACGAGTTAAAATTGTTTAATTGTGTAAAAATCTTTATATCTTAAATCCCCCTTTAAAGGCCCCGAAGAAGGGATGTAAATTTTTATTATTAGTATAAGGTTTTAATCACATAGTTTTGGTTTTGGAGTTATCTTTTGCAGCTGACAAAAAGTTTACGTATTTTTTCTAAATTGATAAAAAATGTACATTTTTATTTACGCAGTACTTAATTATATCATGTGTATTTTATGTTTTTTTTTCTTATACAAAGGCAGGAAAATCACCATTAAATTATCTAAGCACTTGGATAAACATGCTTTGTGTTTTCTTCAAATAATGTTTTATAAGTTAATTATAACCGAGAAATTTTATTTTGTGTTTCACATTCCACATCACACTTATGTGAGGCCCTTGAGTACTTGACAAGTAGATTCATGGGTCCCATTTGTTTACTTTGAAGATAAAACTAAAAAAGGCAATTTAAAAGTCAATTTAATATGTCTAACTAAGGACAAAAATAAGTAATAACATAATAATCAAAATGGTAAGAAAATATACGCATTTAAAAAGCTAAACGTTCTTTTCCTTCCGATCGGCACATGAATTTCAGAAGCTAAAACATATACTCCTATTTGAGTTGGAAAAATATGCTAACTTATAANTTTTTTTTTTTTCCGGGTATGAAAAAAGAACTTTGTTTAACAATTTTTGTTTGAAACTTTTTTTAGACCATTTCTCGATTGAAACTTTTTTAAGACCATTTCTCGCTTTTAACTTTTTTCAGTTGACAAGAGCTTGAAAAATAATCATCTTGTTATGCTTAACAATAATTAAATATATCAAAAAGTAGGAAAAATTATTATTGATTATTTAGAAAAGTAATTCACATTAATATAATAGAGACGGACAATTGCAGAATAATATAAAACGTTCAATGTTTATTAACTCATCAAATTGTTACTTGCTAGCATTCTTCAAGCCTCTCTCCAATAATATAATTTCAATCCATTTGTGGAGCCAAAAAAAAGTTGCAATGATGGTGATGATCTAATCGAGGAATGGTATAAAAAAAAATCAATCGAAAAATGGTCTAAAAAAAGTTGCAAAAAAATTGTTAAACAAAGTTTTGTTTTTATACCTAACAAAAAAAAAAAAAAGAATTTATAAGTTAGCATGGTTTTCCAACTCAAATATTAATATATGTTTTAGCTTCACAAATACATGTGCCGATCGGAAGGAAAAGAACTGTTAACTTTTTAAATGCATATATTTTCTTACTAATCTGATTATTATGTATATTACTTATTTTTGTCCTTAATTAGGCGTATTAAATAACTTTTAAATTGTCTTTTAGTTTTATCTTCAAAGTAAACAAATGAAATTCATAAATCCACTTGTCAAGTAATATGGGACCTCACATAAGAATGAGGTGGAATGTGACACACAAAATAAAATTTCTCAATTATAACCTGTTGTATTCTCTAATTTGTCGTGTCGCTAGTCCGTATTCTACGGAATAAGGTACAATTACCGATGTCCTTTTTTCTTAAATACTCATAGATACCTCAATCATACTACTTATACCACATTTTCATTAGAAAACAAAAATGCAAACGTACTAAAGGAGAATTTTAATAAAATAATGAAAAAGAGGGAAAATCAGCTAAAAGTGAATATACAAAAGATCGATCATATAAAGAGGGCAGACGGATGCATAGGATATCACGCGTTCATGTAGGAAGGGCCGCGTCACCTAACCCTACTAATATTAATATTACTTTCACGACTCGTACCTGTAGCCTATAAATCATACGGAGACAACTTTATCGTTGCTCCGACTGTATGTTGCAATAAATGAGTCAAAAGTAGGAGGCACATGCAATGGACCCAATCCTAAGCATCTTAGAAATTTCACTTAACCTCCATTACTTGTCCTTCACCATCTGTTATATATAAATCAACTCCAGAAATTCTACAAAAAAAAAAAAAAAAAAAAAAAAACAATCTCCAACTTACGCCACTCCATGTTTTTCAGAATTTCTTCAGCTTCAGGTTCAAGTGCATGTTTATCCATCTTCATTCCAAATAAAAACGAACATCTACGTCCAAGAATACAGGAAGCACTAATCCTACTTTTGTACTCAACAATGTTATGTTTTATTCTTAGGGTCTGTTTGGATATTTTAATACTCCATGTGTTAGCAAGTAACTTATTTTCCAGGTTACTAATCCCACCTATGCTATAGTAGCATCAATGATGCTTTTGTCATCTCAAGTTCAAATAGAAGACCAGCACTTCCTTTAATTAGAGAAATCTAAGGGAAATAACCATGCAGCACATGGCAATATCACCAAATGTTTCCAGATTTAAAAAAAAGTGACAGAAATTTCAAGCTACAATAGTTTTCCTTTCTGGAGATTTCGGAAATAAAAGCACCAGCATGCTGATACATTGGAGAAACCTATGGAAAGTAAACAGGCCAATTGAAGTAGTACGAGTCTCGTGCATCTTTATCCATGTACTGGTTCCACTGCAATTAATGAAAACTCAAATGAGAGAAAGAGGCGAGTAATTCCATCCTAGTTATAAACTAAAAACATTGAAACAAAAATCTTTTTTTTTTATACAATTCTATAGCGTATAAGGGAGAACATAATTACATAAGAAACTTAAGAAGCATCGAGTACCTTAAATTCGTAATCCTTATTTTTCTTTAGAGCTTTCTTCCAGTGATGTTGCTCAAAGAGCATGGCTTTGTCATGCCAGCTGCACATAACAACATATTCAACAGCTATGACACACAGCAAAAAGGAAGTTTTTAGAAATCTCAGTCATGCAGTAATATGGGTGTCGTAGAGCCACCACTTGACACTATTGATGGCCGACATGGCAAAATGTCATGACCTACTGGGGCACAGATTTAAGTGGAGTGCACCCAGGTCAAACTAAAGTTTCTAAACTATACTGGCATCCACAACTCAGAAGCATAGTTCTAATGAGATCAAAAAGGATAAGTGAGCCCCCATCACAAATTATGAATGTTATACAAGCACCATGCGGGAAGCTTCAAACGATGTTGTTTAAGAGAAATGATCAAGCGGCAGTTAAAAACATAGAAATTATGCTTGAGCCTTTATGCTTAATCAATTATTCACTCTTACCTTGTATTAGATCTCGAGAGTTGAAGACTTTACAATCCTTAGTATAAAGTTATAACAGATGAGCCAAGGAGAAGCGAACGATGGCCCAAGAATTTTCTTGAAAAATGATACTTGGGAAAGAGGAGGGAGCCTCATATTACCCTTACTCTACCCCCTTCGGTTCATTCAGTTGCACCGCCTTTTTGCGGAAAATATAGACCTCTGCCATCTTCATTTCTCCTATCCCCCTAGTAAGCAATACATGAAAGATCAAACAATTAATCTTCCACAAGCTGATTACCAAAAGCACTCTACTGTTCATGTATAGTTTTGGTCTAGTGAATATGAAATGGGTTCTACAGAGATGCATTTCATGCTCTAATATGGCCGTTTAATATGCTCTAACAAGAAATTTTCCAGGTCTTACACCTCTCACTAGACCAAGTCTGCACGAGAGTGATTTTCCTATCATAGAAGTGGTGCAAAACACTATGACCACTTTCCATGTTTGACGTGATTGCCAAATTTCCTGCATTCTTCGTAGTTTTTGCTTCATCTAAGGTGAAGCTCTAATCCTTCTTTTGTACTCAGCAATGTTATGCTTTGTTCTTAATGAAAAACAGAAAATAAAAAACACAGAGAAGGATTAGGACTTCAACTTAGCATTAATCCGCTGCTCCTTGTCGTTCAAATGCAAAGGAATGCCACTGAGGTGGAAAGTTATGGAGGACGGCACCCAAAAGAAAGAGGTGTGTTAACATAATTTGATAACAAAAAAGATAAGAAAGCATTTAGAAAGACGACCTGCTAGAATAAACCAAGCCCCACTTCTCCCTATAACTTCTGCCCCCAATAATCCTACTGACAATTTTAAACCCTCAACAAACTAGCAAAACATGTTAAGCAACACTATCTTGCACTAATTTACAGGAAGAAACAAAGGAAACACTAACCATCGCACTCCATGGACAAAAGATACCACATTTTGATTAATAGGATGTGACCATGACTTTGTAGTTTTTCTTGTCAAAAACATATGATAGCAAAGACAAAAGATGTAGTCCATGCACATATGATAGGAAGAATGGAACAATAGAGCTGATTGTAATTATGTGATTGTTGTAATGTAGATTAGTTGTCTGCTTAGTTGGTTCTATCCCCTAGCTATAGGGATTAGGAATTTGTATCCCACAATTCTGGAACTAGGAACAGTCTGATAATTGATGGAATTAGGAACCACAGTAAAAGGCCCACAATCACGTTTATTCTCAACTTTCTACTTCTCTCTCTACCTTATTCTCTATAAGCCGATTTCACTATTTTTCTTATAACCGAGAAATCCCGTGAGGACCAGTGGCGCAAGGTCTGAAACTCGGTGGATAATGGGCCCGCTCCTATACCCTTTTCCACTTAAATATCAGGCTTTGGTCTGCGGCTGGATTCAAACCCGTGACGTTCGCCGAAACCACACATCACACTACGCTCTTACCGCAAGATAGAAGCCCTGTAGGCACAAACAGAAATATTTCACTATTTGCGATGCCATCCAGGAAAACTCACAATTCATTCACAAATTAGTGATCTCCCACCTCTTTACCAAGCTTCTTTTGCCTTTTGTAATCCGTTGAGAGCAGGAAAACCAAGTAGATTTACGATAATATTCTCCATGTGATAACAAACAGAAAGGTGAAACCAAAAGGGGGAAAAAAGAGACGGAAAATTATTCCTCCATCCCTTTAGTGTAGTATTCTCCAAGTTCAAACTTCCACTTCTTTGAGGAGGCATTACTGTGTGCATTACACCTTCCTTTGACTGTTTCCACAATTACCTCAGGTTAAACTAATTCTTAGTATACCCACTAAAAAGGTGTAGAAACCTAAATAAACAACCTATATTAACAGATATTTCCATTTTGGAATATCTCAAATGGAAACGCAGACAATGTTATGGACTTCTCAACATGGACGGAGGAGGCATTACTGTGTGCATTACACCTTCCTTTGACTGTTTCCACAATTACCTCAGGTTAAACTAATTCCTAGTATACTCACTAAAAAGGTGTAGAAACCTAAATAAACAACCTATATTAACAGATGGAACGCAGACAATGTTATGGACTTCTCAACATGGACGGAACGAGGGTCAGATGGAGCATATAAAACAACCATTAATAAACCCCTTGATCAAGAATAGATTTGCTCATATCTATTTTGCTATATAGACTGACTCAATACCTTTTACTGAAACCTTCAAAGATAAACCTGTAGGGTAAAGTCAACCCCTTTATTTATCATAATGATATCAGTAACACCTTTGAAGGTTAACCTATCCATCCAAAAAAAATAATGAGCTTACTAGGTGAAAAAAGACCTCGCTTGTAGTTTTTACGACACCAAATGGACCTCCACTATACTTCAATTGTTACATCATAAGTTGATATATCACTCAACCATCAACCATGCCTGATCCTAAATAAGTTGCATTCCACTATATGAAAGCAAATTAGAAGTCTAAAGACTAGAGCTCCTCTAGATAAACTCCTTATCCTTAGACAGACATAATTTCCTAACCAAATAATAAAGATTAGGGACAAAAACAAACCCGATGTAAGTCTAACAACACTTCAAAAGGCCGAGAAATGTATGTAAGTGTAACAACATCTAAACCTTAATTCACAACTAGTTGGCATCACCTGTATAGATTCAGGGGTGGATTCACATAAAGCTCGATGGGTGCTCGAGCGCCCGTTGCCTTTTACTTGGGATGACAGACACTTCTTATCAGACTCTTCTTACCCAACCCCCTTCCCTAAAACACAACATTCTTTTGCCCTTTCTTTTTTCTTTAGTTTCTTTTCATTTTTGTTTTACTTTCTCTTCCCTTTTACTTTTTTCCCCACCCGACCCATCTTCTCCAATACATCTAGCAGTGAAGCACTCTAACCTTAAAATCCTAGGTCCATTGTAGTATAGATCATCTGCTTCTACCGCACTCTGTTTTTAGTTGCATGTGCATTGATTTGGAGTGACTGGAAGTCTTGTCAGATAACTTCCCTTCATATGTGTCTCAATTAATCCCTTCACTGCTTATCTATAGACCAGCGAATTTGCAGATTTTTGCACGATCTTACAGAAGCATCTTACACGACCTCTCTCATAGATCCTCTATATACTTGTAGTATTGTACCCTTTGGTAGATATAAGCATTTCTTTGTTTATCCAATCTTAAGTGACCGCACACCCATCTTAATAATTTTTTTATAACGTAAGGTACATCCATCATACCATTTGATCTATATGATTTTCAGCTTATGGATATGCTGGACTTTTGGGAATGGCCTCCATGGTGGACAAGATGCGGGAAGCAACGGTGAAATGATTCGGACATGTGAAGAGGAGGAGCACATATGCCCCACTGAGGAGGTGCGAGAAGTTGGCAGTGATAGGTCCAAAGAGAGGTAGAGGTAGACCAGGAAGAATTGGCGAGAAGTGATCAAACAAAACATAGCACATCTTCAGCTCACCAAAAACATGACCCTAGATAGGAGAGCATGGAGGTTGAGGATTATAGGAGAAGGTTAGTAGGTAGTCGAGCAATTAGAGTAGAAGGTTAGTAGGTAGCATGGTTCTAGTTTAGAGCACCTTAGCTGCTCCCTCTTCTCCTTGCCTATATTATTGTTACTATATATCTTTATCTTACTCTTCAATTTTATGACTACTGATGTTTCTTTTACTTTGGTTAGCTTTACTATTTTTGTTCTCATTACTCTTCTATTTTACAATATTTTCATCATAGCCTTTTTACTTTTGCATTTTTCAAACATGTTTTGAGAAACACCTTTCTTGAGCCGAGGGTCTATCGGAAACAACCTCTTTACCACATAAAGGTAGCGGTAAGATTTGGGTACACCTCACCTTCCCCAGACCCTACTTGTGAGATCACACTGGATATGTTGTTAGTTGTTGTTGAATATATTGGACTTTAGAAGCACGACATGCACTCCTATATACATTTTTTTCCTTACAACCGTTATCTGAAACATTTCTTGCACTTTGTTACATAAAGCTCACATAGAACTCCTCCCAATTTAATTTATGCAAGTAATATTTTTATCTATCAAGACATTCTCTTGAAAGACTACCTACATGAAAAATAATTTGCATTTAGACAGCATAACCCATCTAATTTTACTTAACCTGCCTTCTTCTTATAGGTACATACTTCTACTTATCCTAAATCATTTCTCTCTAGAGAGTTTCTCCATATTTTCAATTATTTTTTTATTTTCTTATTTATTTCAGCAATCACCACAACATCATCTGCAAATACTATCTCTTCGAGACCTCATCTTGAATACTATTGGTTAGCTCATCAATAACTAGGTCACGAATATGGGATAATGTGAATCCCTGGTAACCCGTGGTTGTGGAAACTCCTCTTACTCTCCTTTACTATCTCAAACTTGTGACTGCTCTCTCATACATAACTTCTATAATATCAACATATTTTATATAACATATTTCTTCCCAACCACTTATCAATTGACTTTTATTGGCGTTGTATCATGTGTTTTCTATAAGCCAATGAATAGCCTATGCAAATACTTCTTTTTCTATGAATTTCATCAACTTTCCTAACGAAATAGTGACTGTTGCATATCTAAACGTATAAATTCAAATTCGTTATCAATTACCCTTACAATGTCCTTATGCCTACGCTTCATCACTATTTCCCAAAGTCTCATCATATAACCTATAAAATTTAATACCATCATAGTTAGCACAAATTTGAGTATCTCCTTTGTTCTCTCTCTCTCTCTCTCACACACACACACACACACACACATATACATATATATATATATATATATAGAAAATCACCTGGGGTCCTGGACAATAAGTCTAGCCTTCATATTTTTCATTGCATCTCTGCAAACCTAATTTTACAAGTGAAGCAAAGGTTTTGTGACGTTAGTCTCATTATTTGCATCGAGCAATTGATCCAAATACCATTTGCATCTCTATTAGACTGTATTATCTCTTCTCAAAACTTGTTGGGAATCATTTCCTAATACGCTTAACTTGGTTCAAATCTTAACCCTCTTTTCGCCGTCCCGCTAACTCACACGTCTCCCTAACTTTTCACCCTTTCCTGTTTTCTAACTTTTACTACAAGTCATCTAATGCTTTTAGATAGGACTTTGCTAATCCCCTAAACTTCCCACTTATCACTCTTACAACCACAAGTTGATGCTACTCCTAATATATTGTAAGCAGACTATATACAACAACAGCAACAACAACGGCAAAGTGGGGTCTGGGAGGTAGTGTGTACGCAGACCTTACCCTACCCATAGGCCAGGGAGGCTGTATTCGATAGGCCCTCGGCGTGTAAGCAGACTATATAGAACAAGAAATTAGAAGCATAAACATTAACGTTCTCAAATTAACAACAAATATGAAAAAAAAGAGACATTTGGGGCAATTCAAAGTGAGTACTTGTATTGATTGGAGAGAGTCCACATGTAGGGATTGATAAAAGTTAGGGCGGAGAAAGCAGCGGACCCTATCCATATGTTCACGAACCGTTCCGGGTCGGCGTGTGGCACTCCAGGGTCGCCCCGGTACGCGTTCCCAAAGTACTTCTCCATTTCTTCTTCTTCTTCTTCTTCTGATGAAGCGTTAAGAGTTTTCTTTGGCTTATCTCGATATCTATCGTGTTCTAACGGAACAAAAATATATGTGTTTTTTTGCAATTGTGGTATTGATAACTTTTGGAGTTCTACGCTTTCCCCCATTGAACTTCTCAGACTTTACAAAAACATCATAGTGGAAAAAATATTTACACAAATAAATTATTTACATAAAGTAATCATAAGTAAAATATTTGTTTCCGTATGACATGTGGGTCACGGGTTTAAGCTATAGAATTAGTTGTTAATACTTGTATCAGGGATAGGTTGCCTACATCATACCCTTTTAGGGTACGACCTTTTCTTGCACTATGGGTAAACGCGGAATGCTTGCTCCCTTAATCATAAGTAAAATATTTATAATAATATTAATTTGTAATCATTTTAAAAAAATATAACTGATTTATTGTTATATATTTAATTATATTGATAGTGACTATAACGTAAATCCTTCAACAATATTTCTAAGAAAATATAAGTTATGTGAATTGTAAAATCATTATAGTTTAACTTATATTAATAAAGATCTTACTTGAATATATTTTTATAGGACCGTATCATTGTATACTTGAGTTATAAGGAAACATAAAATCAAGTATGGCTGATGCGGTATGGTCATGGGACCAGAGCGTGTGATTAACAACCTCAATGGCTTATGGAGTTATAGAATAGTGGAAGATCGTTCTGGTAAACTCTCAATTTTTTTAAAAAAAATAACTACGTTAATAGGTTAATCATAATTTAATACAATCAATAGCATAGCATCTCCTTTTTCTTTTCCTCTCCCTCCCCACCCTCCGTGTAATAAAACTATTTAAAAAAAGAAATTATAGTTTAACCCTTAGTTGTGGGTTTTGACTTTTGAGGACTTCTTTTCACAATCATACAGGGCTCAATTGTGACTTCCCCAAACTACATGGACTGATATGCTATTATTAAAATGTAATTTTTTCTATAAAAAAGGTCCCGCTCCTCTACTCGACCCTCCACTTTCTCGATCCAAAACTTCATTCTGTGTACCGTTGGGGTTTATCAGATTTCTCCATTAAACCCTTCTCAAGTTCAATTACTCTCTGAATCAGCTGTAAGTATTCACTTTCATACATTACCTGTACATGTCTACTTGTACATTGGGCATTTGGGCTTGTACTTTTACTCGTTTAATGCTGCATAATACCTAGGGTTTTATTAATTACCAAGTGGGGTACATGAATCGTTGAGCTCTATATTCTTTTTAGAAGAATTCACTGATTCTTTGTTCTGGAGTTCTCATTAACATCACAAATTTGTGATTTTATTTTTTTGGGAAAAGCCAGTAGTTTAATAATTCATGTGTACTTGTACATTGGGCAATTGGGGTTGTTCTTTTACTCCTTATGCAGCCTAATACCTAGGTTTTATGTTGCAACGTAGGGTTTAGAGATCTTGAACTGCATATTGAGTTTCTTGAGAATTCAGATTCTTTGGTTCAGCGTGCACTTTTGAGTTGTCGGATTGTTTATAACATCACCAAGTTGTGAACCTTTTCTGTTGAATACACGAGTTTTAGCTGAGTGGTGAGGTTTTAGAGTAAAAGAAACCCTAAATGATTCAAGAATTTGAATATGACCGATGGAGGTAATGTGGAGGGTAAAAGGGAGAAAGAGAGTAATGTGGATAATACCGGGGAAGAAAGAGCTGGTTTCGACGATTTTGGGCGAGCAATATCGAGGATTGCTGTGGCTCAAATATGTGAAAGCATTGGGTTTGAGAGCTTCAATGAATCTGCCCTCGAATCGCTTGCAGACGTTGCAATTAAGTATATAATTGACCTAGGCAAGACTGCTAGTAGTGGTGCTAATTTAGCTGGGAGAACACAATGCAACGTGTTTGATGTAATTCAAGGATTAGAGGATATGTGTGCCTTCCACTGGTTTTCTGCGCGCATCAGATGTTCCCAGTTATATATGAAACCCAAGGCAACTAGTGTCGTTTATTTTATGCACAAGTTTGTTGGACTGGCCTAACTAAGCTGTATGTATGATAAGAGCAAGAAGGGTCAATGTTATCACCAATGAAATCAAATTTGGTATAAAGCCAATGGATGGATTTCTTTTAACGGTGGCCCCTCTATCCCTTGTTGGAATTTATTGTGATTTTACCTGGCAAGTTACTAAAATAAGGGGTGATATTTCATTCCAACAGCTAGGAGGATGGTTGAGGGAGGAAGGTGCAACTTGTGATTTATAGGCATAGTTGAGTTATTTCGCGTTACAAGAGAGTCATATTATGCAATACTGAAAGGCGGATAATAAGAAATATAATCCAAAGCCACTAAGACCTTCTTTGCTCCCCATTTTCGCTCAAAGTTTGTGCTGAAAACAGAAAAGTGCCTTTCTTTAAGTTTTGCACTTTGACCCTTTCACTTCTTCAAGGTTCGGAAGTAGAAAATATAACGTCTTTTTGAAAAGCTATATGGTCTTCAACAGGGGTCAAGTTCATTTACGTGGCCAGATGCCAAGTTTAGTTCCGTATACCTATTGTATTGTATCGTATTATTACTTTAAATACAATGTTTGTTTTGATTGTTGTCTTCTCAAAAAAAATGTTTGTTTTGATTGTTACTTAAATTTTATTGTATCATCTCGTTTAGTCTATTGTTACGTAACGACGAAAAATGCCATTATGGAACGACTGATTTGGTGTGGTCACGATGTTAGTTGTTATCTTTTTTTTTTCTTTAATCTTGCACTTTTTTATTATTAAATAATTATATTTTATCCTTTAACCTATCTTTTTATATAGTAATTCTACCTCGTATTTTACTTTTTCTTTATAATATTGCAAGTCCATTCTTCATATTGTTAATGCATGACATCATAAAACGACGCCAAACAATACAATTTATTCAAACATATTATACATTAAAACGACAATCTTAACTCTTTTTAGCTTCAAGGAAGCCTTGGTAGCTTCATACAGCAAATAGTATGATTGATCTTTGTTTAATCACATAGAAATTTTGCAAAAAAATATGCACCATCTGATCGTAGTTTCGTGATTGCATATATTAGCTTGACAAGAATCTAGACATCTGGAGACCTATGGCGTTTTAGAAAATGAGAGCTAGCAGAAAATAGAGATATAGATCATTTTCTTCATTCAACAAAAATAATGTCCTTAAAAGAGTAAAGAACATAACTCTTAAATTATGAAAAACGGCGTAATTATATAGTTCCAGTGCTGAACTATTCTGAAAACTAACATACAAATAAAATCTAAGGAAGCAGAAAATAGAGATATAGATCATTTTCTTCATTCAACAAAAATAATGTCCTTAAAAGAGTAAAGAACATAACTCTGAAATTATGAAAAACGGCGTAATTATATAGTTCCAGTGCCGAACTATTCTGAAAACTGAGTAACATACAAATAAAATCTAAGGAAACAAAAATGGAAATATGTAACTGAGTGTAACGTTTTTCCTGTCTGCTCTCTAACAAGTACATTCCAAATATCAATTACTGCTGCTCAAGTAATCGAATCAGTTCAATATCAAAACTATCTAATACAATCCTCTCTAAGAATAATAGCGAAAGATGGGGCTGGTTTGGAGGGTGATGATTTGTTGACTTCCTGACTGCCGGATTAATCCAACCCATCACTTCAATTTCAAGTCAGCTTCCAGAGGAAATATCTTTCCGTGGTGATTAAAGATCATGAAATCCAGATTGGCAGGCAAAGCGACCACCCTGCGAAATAGAGATATATGAGATATCAAATAATATAGACATATCTCGAACACCGTAAGTGCAAATGAATTGACTTCTGGTACCAATTCTCACTTGGTTATACATGAAGTTAACACACCAGAAGGATAAATGTTGTTAAAAGGGGCTGGTGCACAAAGCATCCCGCGTTCCCACAAGGTCCGGAGAAGGACGAACCCAATGGGTGTAATGCAGACAGCCTACCCTAATGCAAGCATCAGTGGATGGATAAATGAACTGTTGACCCCCCCAAAAAAATAGCAGTAGTTCTTGTTAGTCAGGGACCTACCAACTAACTTTAGCGTTTCTACTTCATTAAATGTCATGAAAAGATACCCCAAAAACGTACTATTTCCTAGAATTTAAAGGAGGGTCATGTAATTCAAATCTGGAGAAACCAGGAAAAGAAAAATAAATTTTTCACTGACTTCTTATTCAGCGCTTAAGTAATTAATTTTATAGATGCCCTACAACCACAATGGCATGGAACAAATGGTAACTATCACCTAGAGAGTTGAGAACCGGTCTTTTGTTAGATCAGCCTTGACTTTGCTTTTCTTCACCTTGTCACTTGTCATCAAACCTCCTACCCCGGATTTTTCAGTCAATTTGGAATAGACTCATCTCTAAGCTTCGACCTTCGTGAGAAAGACTCATGCCTCCGCTTATGGCTTCCATACCACCCATATGTGCTCTCCTTTCTCTCGCCCTCCCTGACATTGCCTTTGCATCGCAAAGAGGAAGACGGGTCTATGAAGAAAGATAATAGGGTGCTGTATGTGTAAGTCTAAAAGAGCCCTCACAAATTCCAGTACCCAAATTTTTTAACAAGTCAATATCCAACTATATTTTCTTGTCAAAAAAAAAATATCCAACTATATTTTCTAAATATCATATATGCTTCCCATGATCTCTCTCTGCAACATATTTTCTTTACATTGCTTACCCAAAATCAGTGAAAATAAACCTATGCAAATTGGATTTGACTTTAAGAAAAACAACCATCTGCCACCCAGGACTTCGGTCTAGCGGTAAGAGTGCATCATATGCACGTCATGGGTTTCAGCCTGATTATTTAGGTGAAGAAGGGTAGAGGTATGCACGTCATGGGTTTCAGCCTGGTTATTTAGGTGAAGAAGGGTAGAGGGGACCCATCGGGTTTCAATCTTGCGCCACCCTCGGGATTTCTCAATTATAAATAATTAAAAAAAGAAGAAAAAAAGAAGAAGACAAAGACAACAATCTGCTCATCTGTACTTGGGTGTTAGGGAGTATAAGCAAGGGTTTATATGCCATGCATGGGTGTGGATAAAGAAGTTAGTCCTACCACATCAACATGGTAGCATTCTGGGAATTTTTTGAAAATTAGGATAAAAAAGCTAGACCAAGAGAGAGACATCTTAAGACTTGTTCACCGGAAAGACCTAGAACTAGTGAATACCTTTAAAGAGAGGGAAGGTTAATATTGTATGTCTGTACTGTATCCACAAGAGACTAAATGAATATGAAAAAAGGGCAAGGGATTGACAACACAACTCATAATTTGAGGTATCCTGCGGTACATATAAGTAGGAAAGAGTCATCACAAAATTATGACCTTATAGAAAAAGTTACAGATATAGAGAGAATTAATGATATTGTCTTATTAAAACCAGTGCGGCAAAAGAATACAATCAACCTCATTAGTGTCTGTATTCATCAAGTATGATAAAATGAGAAAACTGAAAGCAAATTGTCTACACTCTATACTCCGCAAACTGCATTATAAGGAAACCAATACTACATTTCGGAAAAATATAGGTGTGTCCAAGTATCAAAATTGACCAAAACCTACTTTAAAGAGGGAATCACACTTGATAACATTTAAAAGTAGGTATCACAGTCAATTAGACTTCATCCTTGCCAAAAAAGTTGTCCGGACCAGGAGTAACTCTAAACGCTCAAAATAGACGGGTGGCTCTAGATGTGAAGCGAAAGTGTGGGGAAAAACAGAAGGACTGCTGCAAGCACCAAGGATTCTATGGGGGATACTAAATGGTGCACACCAAATTGCATTTAAAGACAAGTTATTGAAGGAGGCAGCATCGGAGTTAGAAGCTAACACAGTTATCCAGTGGAAGAAAATGAATAGTTGCATTAAATGTAGCAAGTGTATAGCTATATCTAAAAGTATAAGACCTCGACCACAGTAATTGTGACACTGGAATGATAAGATGCAAGGCTAATAAAGAAAAAGAAAAAAAGAGCGTTATAGGAAGTTTTTTTGAGGAGGAGTGGTATAGGAAGCTATCAACAGCAGTATAGATGGAAAACCCTTTGAAGAACATAAGAGAGTGAAGCAGATTGTATTGGGACTAACCTACAGACACAGTTTCCACATTTTGAAGGATGGTGTGTGGACAACTCAAAGCCTTCTTTTAATAGGGATAGATGTGAAGGGACGCGTGGCAATTTTTATAAAAAAAAAAAAAAAAAAAGGGTCAGGTCCTGTTCAGCCCAGGCGAACTGATGAGGCTGAACTCACAAAAGCTGGGCCTTCTTCCAATAAACAAAATCCAAAGTTTGCTGCTGAGACTCAGCCCATAGATATTGGGCCTTTATCTCGACGCGATGAAGCTAGTAAATATGTTCGAGGCTGGTCCCATTCTCAGGCGACTTTTTCTCCTCTAGCTCTGGAACCTTACTTACAAAATAGAAAAGGGGAAAATAACACCATACAAAGTACGCAGCCGCTGAAAATCAACCTACTGAATTCAGCTACAATGCGAACTCCCCCTATCAGTCCTGCTGAACAAATTCATCTCCTTGAATGGTGTCATGAAGGCCGGGACCCACAATCTCAACTTCAGCCAATAGAGGTCGAATCTACACCTTGGGTACGAAAGAATCTTCTTAAGTTGAGTAAATTGATGGGGGTAGATTTTGTGGGTTTTGAAGGAGAAGCACTCCAGCTTTTTACTAGAATTGACAACAAGAGACTTCAGACGACACCTAAAAATAGTGCAAGACCGTCTGGTAGTGGGAGAAGGGTGGGGAAGCACGAACTCGAAAATCTGAAATCCGACCTCAATGTTGGAGAGAGTTCAGGCAGGTTGAGGGGGAGAATGCTCACTTATGGTAACTCATGAAGTTGAAAATTATATCTTGGAATGTTAGGGGTCTCAACAGGTCGGACAAAAGAAGAATGCTGAGATTGTTGCTGTTAGAGTGGAGGGCTGATATTTATTATTTCCAGGAAACCAAATTGAATACCATCTCTCAGTCTATTATTAGCGACATTTGGCTAGGTAGGTGGGTGGATTATGTGTTCTTGGAGGCTGATGGAACCAAAGGAGGAATTTTGGTATTATGGGATAAGAGAGTATGGAAAGGGGCTTCTGTAGCTGCTTGAAATTACAGTATTACAGTATAATGTGAGAATCTGCTGGAAAATTTCAATTGGTCTTTAACTGGAATTTACGGGCCAAATAAAGGCAGATATAGGGAAGATTTATGGATGGAAATTGCAGCGGGTAGGGGATTATCTCCTGGACCCTGGGTTATTTGTGGAGACTTCAACATAACTAGATTTGTGGGGGAGAGGAAATCAAATAGAAGAAGAACCAGACAGATGCTGAAATTTTCAGAGTGCATTGAACAACTGGAGCTAATAAACCCCCTATATTTGGTGGGAAGTATACTTGGACTCAAGGGGATAACAATACAGCAGCTTCAAGAATTGATCGTTATGTTCTCATTAGAATGGGACGAGGAGTTTAGATCGTTAAAACACTCTATCCTACCAAACCTCATATCAGACCACGCACCATTGCTACTTCAATGTGGAGATTGGGAGAGGAATAATAGCTACTTCAAATTTGAAAATTGGTGGTTAGAAAAAGAAGGTTTCAGGGAGATGATTCATAACTGGTGGTCCTCTTTTGTGGTGATAGGTAGACCTGATTTCAGACTTGCCAAAAAACTGACCTTGCTCAAACAAAAATTGAAAGGATGGAGCAAAGAAACTGCTGGTAATTACGTAGTGATGAAGAAAGAGCTGCTGCAGAGAGTTTTGGATTTGGACAGGTTTATGGAAAACAGAGACCTGACAGAAGCTGAATTACTGGAGAAGGCCAATATCCAAATGGAGATGGAAGATATAGCAAAATCATAGGAGATATCTTGGAGGCAGAAGTCAAGATGTTTGTGGCTAAAGCAGGGTGATAGGAATACTAAGTTTTTTCAGAAAATGGCCCATTCCCGTAAAAGGAATAATCATATTGATACAATAGAAGTGGATGGGACAACATTAGAGGATCCTGTGGAAATTAAAAATGAAGGTTTGGGTTTTTATGAAAAGCTCTATACAGAGAGTGAAACTTGGCGATTAGAGGATCCAGTGGAAATTAAAAATAAAGTTTTGGGTTTTTATGAAAAGCTCTATACAGAGAGTGAAACTTGGCGACCTACCAATTTAGGAGGAGCTCCTAGGATCACAGATGAAGAGAATATTTGGCTACAAAGATCATTTGAAGAGGAGGAGGTTCTGGAAGTAATAAAGCAATGCGCTAGTGAAAAAGCTCCAGGGCCGGATGGGTATACTATGGGGTTCTTTCAGAAATGTTGGAATTGCTTGAAAGACGATATTATGGAGGCCCTTATATATTTTCATCAGGAAGAGATGTTTAAGAAGAGCTTTAATGCCACCTTTATAGCTCTTATCCCTAAAAAGAAGGCGGCCAGAGAATTGAAAGACTTCAGACCTATTGGTCTAATTGGTAGTTTCTACATGATTGTGGCTAAAGTCCTTACCGAGAGGTTGAAAAAGGTGATGCCTAAATTAGTGTCAAGTAATCAAATGGCATTCTTGAAAGGGAAGCAAATCATGGATGCATCTTTAATCGCTAATGAATGTCTCGACACTAGGCTAAGAGAGAAGATACCAGGTATAATGTGCAAACTTGATATTAAGAAGGCATACGATCATGTGAACTGGAATTTCTTGCTGAAGGTCCTCAAAGATTTAGGCTTTGACCAGAAGTGGTTGAATAGGATTTGTCATTGTATCAGCACAGTAAGGTTCTCTGTACTTATAAATGGTTCACCACAGGGTTTCTTCGCTTCCCAACGAGACCTTAGACAAGGAGATACCATTTCTCCTCTCTTATTCTTGTTGGTAATGGAAGGACTTAGTAATATGATCAATTTTGCAGTTTCTGAAAGCTGGATCAGTGGTTTCAGAGTGAAATGCAGACAGGATCAGGGCCTCTCTATTTCGCATCTTCTCTATGCTGATGAGTCCCTTATTTTTTGTGAACCAGAGGTGAATCAATTGAGATATTTGAGACTGATTCTATGTGTGTTTGAAGGAGTTTCAGGACTTCATGTCAATTGGAACAAGAGCAGAATAATTCCAGTGAACACAGTTCAAGATTTGCATAGTGTTGTTGTAGTTTTAGGGTGCCAAATAGAGTTTCTTCCTACAAGTTACCTAGGATTGCCTCTGGGGGCAAAAGCAAAATCTGAATTTATCTGGCAAGGAGTGGTGGATAGATGTGAAAAAAAATTGACTAACTGGAAGAAACAATACCTTTCTTTGGGGGGAAGATTAATGTTAATTAACAGTGTTTTGGATTCAATTCCCACATATACTATGTCCTTATTTCTCATGCCATCCAAAGTGGAGAAGAAAATAGACAAGCTAAGAATGGAATTTTTATGGCAGGGCAATAAAGAAAACAAAGGGATTAATCTTGTCAAATGGAGCACTATCACTGCAACTAAGGAACAAGGAGGTTTGGGCATTAAGAACTTAAGGATACAGAACAGAAGCCTTTTAATGAAGTGGCTTTGGAGATTTAGTGCAGAAGCCAATACTTTGTGGAGGAGAGTAATAGCAGAGAAATCTGGTCTTTTGAATGTATGGTGCACCAACAGAGGTCCCTCTTCACAAGGAATTAGTATCTGGAGGAACATAGACTCCTTGTGGCCAGTTTTCTCACAACATATTGATTTCAAGATAGGTAATGGAAGGAAGATTTTCTTTTGGCAAGATAAATGGTTGGGTCATCTACCTCTCAGAGAACTTTTCCCTGTAATATACAGATTGGTGCTCGACAAAGAACTCACTATAGCACAATGCTGGGAAGATAATAGCTGGAATATAAAACTCAGAAGAGACATTAATGACTGGGAGCTAAATGAGGTAGCTGAATTCTTCAGTATACTACCTACATCGGTAAGCCTAACCAGTAATGAAGACCGTTTGATACGGAGAGGACACGACAAAGGGGTTTATACTGTCAAGACATGTTACAACATTTTAATGAAAGAAGTAAATCAATTTTTATTGGTCCCTGGAAGCAAATCTAGAAGTCGAAAGCTCCTATGAAAGTTAGTTGTTTTGAATGGTTGGTGGCTAAGAAGGCATGTTTAACTCAGGACAACTTATAAAGAAGGGGATTCCAATTAGTTAATAGGTGCTACATGTGTAAAGAATAGACAAAAACTATCAACCATCTATTCTTACACCACAGAGCTGCCACACAATTATGGCAACTATTTTTGAACATTGTGGGAATTAAATGGGTGATGCCAAGTACTACTGCTGAGTTACTGTCATGCTGGAATAGAAAAGGAATGTCAAAGCAAAAGAAGAAGGATTGGAATACAATACCAGCAGCTATTTGGTGGTGCATATGGAAAGAAAGGAATAGGAGATGCTTTAAAGGACAGGAGACTTCATTCTTGAAGATCAAATCAGACTGCATTTTGTTGATATCTTTTTGGTGTAAACAGGATTGGATAGATGATAGTGAAACCCTACTAGAATTCATAGTCTCTTTTGTATAGACATAGAGGGGTTTTTTTTGTTTTTGTTTTCTGGGATGTAACCACAACACTCTCTTGGTGCTGATTTTTTTATATTTATAATACCTTACCATTTCAAAAAAAAAAGAGTGAAGAGAGAAGACAAGAAAGCGACTTACAAAGCCCATGATAAATCCTTAGACGACTTGTACTAAAAGCTAGATACAAAGAAATGTATATTGGTTATTTAGTTGGCAATATTTAGCCCCTGTAGATTGCCATATTAACTTTTTGAATTTTGTCGGCTCTTTTGCTTTAGCCTAGTATTTCTTTTCTTTTTTGTATCAAAGCTGACTCTTTCCCCCTCTTGTACTTCTTGCATCTTCTTGATGCCTTTTTCCATAAAAATCATTACTTCATCAAATAGATACAAAGAAATGTATAAGCTGGCACGATTGAGAGGGATGAGGGGTAAATATTTGGACAAAGTTGTATTAAAGACGATTCTCAACAAGTTACAATAGGAGGTAGTGAAATCAAAGAAAGATGGAGATAGTAGTGTGATCACTTGTTCAACAGAAATCACAGGTATAGCTTTAAAGATTTATACGTCTTCCATGACAAAAAAACGTTAGCTCACTTGAAGCATTGTTCCCCTAAAGTAAAGGATGCCATGAAGTATGAGAGTGAGAAAAGCATATGGTTCAAATGATATCCCTGTTTGACTCAAAAGTTATCAGATACTTTTTAAGCAAATCAATCGAAAGAAATGAACGGATAAATCATAGCCAATCATAATTAATCACTGAATCAGAAGACAAATTTGAGATGTATGAATCATCCATTGGAGAATGGTATAGACGGGGTTTTATTCATCATAGTAGCTTGACCTGCCTCTCCTTAGAGAGGTTCAGGATCTTACATTTTTCTTGTTCATCGCCCCGTTCATGGAGCATATACTACCATTTTCTGTTTTCGACCCAGTCGAAAAAGAAGCCCCCCTTTGAAGGTTCTCTTTCTTGGTATTTATAACTTCAAGCTCTGTGAACTGGTCACGAGCCGTCGTAGTTTAGTTGAGGAGACGTCCTCCTGTCGCGAAAGGGCCGTGACCCCCTTGTCCGCCTTAAGAACAGCTGTCATGAGTTTTAAGTCAGTTGCATTGACCATTCGTTATAAGTTGGTTAGGACGGTCCGGCTCCGTGGCTGTCGTATGGTCAAATTTTTACCAATACAGTTAGTCCCTCCGTTCGTCGAGGTCGTGCCTGTGACGACCTCGGCGGACGGACAGAGTGGCGTAATCAGGAGAAGCCGGGCTCGCCTTTTCGGTGTTTTCGTACCGTCATGGCAGTTTTGGAACCGAAACGTCGGTTGGTAAGTGAAGCGCTATTTCAAACAGTCGTTCATAATGGCGCACGTTTCCGTGAAACCGAGTCATTTAGTGCCTGGTCACATATTAATGGTGACTATTGGGTTTCGTGAAGACAGAGTGTGCTGCTTATAAATAGAGGATTTGCCATTTGCCTTTTGCGCGCTCATCGTTCTTTCGAGAGAAATTCTGAGAAAACTTTCCTTTTGCTAAATCGCATTTTTCTCTCCTCTTTTAATCGCTATCATCATTGATCTCCTCGTTTCTCCCAAAAAAGCTAGTCTTTCTCTCGCTCGTGAGTCAATTATGGCAGGAACTTCTTCTCGCGGTAATCTTCCGGCTTATTCTCCGGTGGTTGAAAATTCCGCTCAGTCAACTGAAGGCTTAGAGCTGACGGAATGTGAAGAAGTTCCTTCAGTCGATGAAGTTCTGCCTCGTCCGGGAAATTCGGTGGTGGATTTTGGCGCACCGGGCGGCGTGGAGCAGGTGGACACTGCTTCTCTAATGGGGGAAGTGGGGATAGCACAGATGCGAGAGCAGTGGGGCATTCCGCGCTACGTCGAGATCGCGCTTGCGAAGACTGAGGATAGGGTTCAGATCGACCGTCGAGGGTATTGCTCGTTCTATGCTTATCCCTTTATAGTGGGGTACGCGCTCCCGCTCCCGATGCTGGTGGTCGACTTCTGCCGTTATTATGAGGTATGTCCGGCCCAACTTTCTCCTTACATCTATAAACTGTTTCTCATGTTTATCAAGTATGCGGAGCTAGCCGGTAGGGAGGTCACTCTGAGACATGTGCTTAGTCTCTTTGCTCCTCAAAAGATCCGCGACACCATGATCCATGCACGCCCCCGAGGGTCGAGGGGCTTGGTGGTTGGGATGGACGACAGGACCAACCGTCGCTTCTTTGAAATTTTTTTCTGTATTCGGACTGAGCACCTTGTGGCGGACCCGAGCGGGTTCCCAGAAGTTTGGAACTTTGCACGTAAGTCCTCGTTCCCGACTGGAAAAGTGCCCTGTCTCGACCTTCTTTACGCCTTGTGTTTGTAGTAATTGATTTACTTTAATGTTTTGCAGCTGAAAAGTTGCCGCCGCCTCCTTTGGAGGGGATCCGGTAATGGGTCGAGGCCGTGCTTCCTCATACTGCGGGGATTCGCACATGGTCGACTTTTTGGGATAGACACGGACGTAGGCCCTTGACAGGTGAAATAGCGGCCCTACTTCGTTTCTGTTTTGCCTTATTTTGACTTACTCATCGAACGTTTGTTTGTTGTGGTTAGGGAAAACTCGCCGCGTCAGAGCTCCTCGGTTAGCTTTCCGTCGACCGGCTGCGTCTGCTCGACTTACTGTGACGCCTGCGCCTCGTCCGGTGTCGAGGGAAGCGTCGGTTGAATCGTCGGTGGCTGCCTCTCCGACACGGTCCGTGCCTCAAGACGTGGGGCCGTCTGGGGCCGCCCGCCCTCGAACTGACTCGCCACCAACCGGAGAGGAAGAAGGGCCATCGAAAAGGCGGAGGGTAGCATTCGTGGCGGAACCTCCGACGGTAATCAATTTGGATTCTCCGCCAACGGAGTCAGAGGGAGAAGTTGTTGCGGAGCCTGCCGTTGGGAGGGGGCAGTTAGTTGAAGTTGTCCCCGCTAGTTCGAGCCAAGCGAATGTCGCCGTTCTGGAGACCCGGTCGAAAGTTCCCGCTGCTGAGGCGGAAGGTCAATCTCCAGGGGTCGCCGTTGAGACTTCGAACGCACCTTCGTCGAGCACGGCGGGTGGTTCTGGACTATCAACGGCGGAGAGGGGAAAGAATGTGGTGGACGAGTATGAGTCTGAGTCTGAGTCTGATTTGGACCCCGACGACGTCCGTATGTTTGAGGAGGGCTTTACCAACTCTGCGGTTCGCGCAGGGGGGTCGGCCCGTTTTATTGAAGTTTCTTCAGATCTGAACCTGCTGACCCAAGGGAGTAGCTTGGTGTCGCAATTTGAGTTGTTATGTTCGGAGGCCGAGAACGCGTCCCTGAGGAGCGTTTCTGACGTTGAGGTGATGAATGAAGTGGCCGTGATGGGCCTGAGGGTACGTAGCGTGACCCCAGCTGTTTCTTCATTGTCTTAGCCTGGGCTTTAGTTTTAATTGTTCTCTCTGTTTTGCAGACTTACTTGCTGGAGGTGGAGAGCATCCGCAGAGCCAATGTCCGTTCGAGGATCTTTCTGCAGATGCTGGGAAAGTATCGCCGTTATCGTGACAGGTGCCGAGAGCTGCACGGGCGGTTGAGGGACAATCCTTGTAACCGAGCTCTGGGCGAGGAGCTGGAAAAGCGGAATCGAGAGCTGCTGCAGGTGCTTGGTAGCAAAGGCGAGCTTGAGGAGCAAATTCGTATGAAGGATGAGGAGCTCGAGGTGGGAAAGAAGATTGCAGCTGAGTGTGCGCAGTCTGCGGGATAAGGTTGAGGGAGATGGAATTGGAGGCGGAGCAGAACCAGGTTAAGGCGGCGGGGATGGCCGTGGAGTGGAGTGGGAAGTTGGCGGAGATGGAGGGCGAGATTGCTGCCTTGAAGCTTCGGGAGAGGGATGCCTCGACGAGGGCCAGGGCGTTGGAGGAGGCGATCCGCGTTCATGAGGCTGAACGAGAAACGGAGAGGACTACTGCGGCCCTCAGGGAAGAGGGGCTCGAGGAGCGAATTAGTGTCTTTGACCAGGAGGCCCAAGTTCTGTCGGATCGAATTGCGGTCTTGGAGGAGGAGAACCAGCGACTGCAGGACCAAGTTGGGTCGTCACACACTGCCGTTCCCAACCAGGCTCATGACCTTTGGGTCTATGCTGAAGCTCAACGTGATATCTTCAAGAACTTGTGGGAGGCAGGTACTGTGACCGAGGCGGCTTTCGAGGTGGCACGTCAGAAGGCTCGTGAGGCCCGTGCTGATTGTGGTTATGATGTGGCGACGCCCGAGGCTGACGATGGTACGAGTGGTGGCGAGGATGGCGCCGAGTGAAAGAATTTGTTCTTGTTTTTTTTGTTCCGTTCGCCGATTGGCGTTCGTACATTGTGGTTTTTCTTTGTTTGTTTTTTTTTGTCGACCGGCTCTGGCCGGGTGTAAGCGGGGATGACCCGCATTCTCAACTTTGTGGATAAATGAATTTTCTTTTTCGTCGTTTGTCTTGCGCCTATTTCGTACCTTCTTTTTCTTCTTTTTTATTTTTGGCAAACTTGAAGTGTCGACTTTTTGAGTTTGACGGGGGTTGGTGTATCAGCCTTTAACTGATGACGGTTCTTATCCTTCGTCTCCATATGAGCGAGGTGGAATTGTCGTCTTATGGCGAGGAAACTTGGCCTCAGTTCCGGCTCGATTGAGGTCAAACTAGCTTTGATGGCGAAGGCACAACCTTATTCTCAGTTCGAGCGAGGTCGAACTTACTTTGACGGCGAAGGCGCTTAGCCTTAGCCCTAGTTCGACTGAGGTCGAACTTGCCTTGATAGTGAAGGCACTTGATCTTAGTCCCAGTTCGACTGAGGTCGAACTTGCTTTGATGGCGAAGGCACTTAGCCCTATTCTTGGTTCGAGCGAGGTCGAACTTACTTTGATGGCGAAGGCACTTAGCCTTATTCTTGGTTCGAGCGAGGTCGAACTTACTTTGGTGGTGAAGGCACTTAGCCTTAGTCCTAGTTCGACTGAGGTCGAGCTTGCTTTGATGACGAAGGCACTTAGCCTTATTCTCAGTTCGAGCGAGGTCGAGCTTGCTTTGATGACGAAGGCACTTAGCCTTATTCTTGGTTCGAGCAAGGTCGAACTTACTTTGATGGCGAAGGCACTTAGCTTTAGTCCCAGTTCGACTGAGGTCGAGCTTGCTTTGATGACGAAGGCACTTAGCCTTAGTCCCAGTTCGACTGAGGTCGAGCTTGCTTTGATGACGAAGGCACTT